ATGTATCTGCTATGTAAGGAGTTGTAACACTGTATTTGGGGAGGCATAATGACAAGAAAAATGCCAATATGTGTTTAGTAAAGACAAATGTTTTTTCTAACTATTTTTTTATCTGTGGTTATTTGAACCCTCAGATGCAGAATACACAGACACAATGAATCAATTGTGTATATGAATTGGCTTAGAGTATTGTGGATGCTGGGTCGTCACTTCTGAAATCAACACAATAGCCCATCCTGAAGGGTAGGCTGCAGCATTTTGCAGACACGAAAGCTACTGTCCCCAGGTGAGATTTCCCACTTAGGGTACTCAGTTCTGCTCTTAAAGTCTTTCAGTTAGTGAATCAGATCCACTCATTATTCAGTTCATCTAGAATAATCCCCTAAAGTTAAAGTCAATTGATCAGGGGTTTTAGTCATCATCTACAAAATACCTCCACAGTAAAAGTAGATTGAAGTTTGATGCTGTAACTGGTGGCTGCAGCCTATCCACATTGACACAGACCATGACCATCACAGTTAGGGTGGTTTCCTACCTTGATATGTACCTCCAACTCACACAGACCTTCCACTATCTGTAGATTGCTGGACTTTTTTCTGGCTGAATAAATAATGGGAAAGAATTGCTTGGTGAATTTCTCATTCTAATTCCCTGAAGAGATCACAAAAGCTAAATCACCTGTGAATCCAAAGGGCAGACTCCAGCTCTTTGTCTTTGCATATCCTCAAGGGTGACTTATCTTTAGTAAATTTGTTTCTATTCTTGCCTTTGGCTTCTTGTCTTTGATTATTGTTAATAAATTATGAGGAATACAACTTAAAGTTTTATTGAATAACAAACTATGTTTTCGTTAAAATAGTGAATTAGATATGGTGTTCTTGATTTCAATATTATCAACCTTTTAGCTTTTTGAATATTTCCATCAGATGCCTACATGTAAGAACTGCTCTAAAAAATTCTATCTTTTTTCTCTTCTATTCATTTATTGTTTTGATCCAAGGCAAGATACCTAGTTAGCTCTATGAACTTCAGTTCCTTTCCCTGCTTATTTCCCATGTTTCTTTGAGGTTCAAGTGGAGAATGTCAAGAAAAATTCTGGGTGCCTACTGGGAGGCACTGTCTACTTCAGGGAATTTACTAGGATTTCAAAAAGAGTTGCACATAGCCATTCTGTTTCCTCTGTTCTAATATTTTAACTCAGTTTTCTATTTCTATTTAGAAAAGCTTTATTTGGCCTCTGGATTTATTTGTTGAACTTACTATTCCCATAAAAATCATCTAAGAAATTGTTTCCTTTGGGAGGCAGTTATGAAGAGATGTATGACTTTGATTTTCTAGATTTGTTTTTCAGAATGATAGACATGACAGAGATTGTTTGACTTCTGTTAACCTAGCATTCTTAAGTAGCACTTATACAACTGGCGAGCCAATATTAGATCCAAGACTAAAGGGAGATTTAACCTGCCCTACATCACAGCCTTTACTAATGCTCTGAAAATAAATGCACTTATATCTTAGTTTTAGTGCATCTGGTCCTCATGCTGATATGACTGGAGTCTCAGTGCTATAAACTTGAGAATAATTTCCTGACTGCTCAGAACACAGTACCAGGGAGTGTGGAATGAAAGTCCATTTCATGTTTCCTCCTGGACAAACTATACCATTTCATTCTGGAGTTTGTTTCTGAAATGCCTAACTCAGTGAGCACAAAACACTGAGCAGAGGACAGATTGTTATTCTGCCAGATAGTCATCTCCTCAGACATACCCAGGAATGGATATTGGGATGAAAAACTAAGGACATAAGAGTTTGGATAGACATGTGTATTAGTTTGTTAGAGATGCTATAAGAAAATCCACAGAATTTGTGGCTTAAATAAGGGAAACATTTTTTTTT